GTCAGGGAACTAGATCCCACATGCATGCTGCAACTAAGAGTTCGCATGCCACAACTAAGGAGCTGGTGAGCCGCAACTAGGGAACTCTTGAGACGCAACTAAAGGAGCCCACCTGCCACAACTAAGACCTGGTGCAACCAAATAAATAAATAAATATTTTTTAAAAAAGGAAGTTTTTCCTCGCGCTGGACTGAAATTTAGCTCCCTGTAACTTATTCTTATGAAGCTACCTTAGTCTTCTAGAACTGGGGAAGAAAAAAAAAAGATGTCTCCCTTTTGTATAGGAGATAGGCCTTAAAGTACTTGAAAACAGCTTTCATGCCCCCTTAAATCTTTTTTCCTCTTTGGGGTTAAACTTCCTTAGTTCTTATGTGGTCCTCATTAGTTATAATTTCCAGATTCTCTGTCTTCCTGTTTCCACCCCTCAGATGCATAATCGTTTGTCAGTGTTCATCCTAGAGTGGTGTCAGAAGGAAACACACGTCAGGTGTGGTCCAGGATCTCTGAGAAGAGCAGGACAACTTCCTCCATCTCTTCCTTTTGCACTCTACCCTTCCAGTGATGCAGCCTAAACTCACCTTAGGTGCTTTGAGAGTCACATTATACCCTTGACTCATACTGATCTTGCAACCAACTTGTGACTCTTTTAGCTCCATCTTCCAAATTCTGAAATTGTACTGCCATGCTGGGTTTTTGTTTGGTTTTGTTTGGAGCCCAAGGGTAGTAAATTTCAGCTTGTTAAATTCAGTTCCTTGTCCAACCTATCAAGGTTGACTTGGAACCTTACTCTTTTACCCATTTAGTGATTCCCTACCTAATTTTGTATCATCTGAAATTTTGATAAATATGCTATCTGTGTTCCCATTCAGGTGGTCATTAACTTTTTTTAAGCCAACTAGGAAAATTTCCAAGGTTAGGTTTGTGGAGGAAGATGAGGTAAAGCTAGAGTGATTCCAAAAATACATTTTGGTTTTGGATCAATAGGGGTGACTAGTGTTGTACACTTTCTGGGAGTGTGAGTATCTGGGTAATTGGGTAAAGACTCATCCAGCATCATTGCTGCATCAGAGCCTGTGACCCATGATGAGGCAGGAAGGCAAATATTGATAGCTTGGTTCATAGATCTGATTGTTTCCTATATACCCTTTGCCGACCAGTACTGAGCGTTGAAAGGGAGGATGTTGTGAAATAGAAGCAAGGCCCACTGTGAGGAGACAAACAGGACTCCCAGACCACAAAAAGCCAGGAGGTTGCTGTAAGCATTAAGAGCTCCAGAAGTAAAAAAGAAGACATTCTTGGAGCAAAGACAGAGCTAACAAAAAAAAAAAAAAAAAAAAAAAGAGCTTTAGCACCCTGCCTGGAGTTTGAATAAATTTTTCTCAGCTTGAACAGCCATTCTCTTCTGTCATTCCTTAGAGGTCACACCTAAAAGCCAAAAGAATCAAACTGAGGCCACCTCATTGGGGTTCACAGAAGGGGGGTCTCTGATTATGCCAAAGGGTGTTGGAAATCAATTTAATGTCGCAGTCTTGCTCCCCAGCCCACTCACACCCCGTACCACAGGAGTATATTTTTAGCTCTTTCTAATATTCACCCAAATTGTTCTTCTCCTTGCCCATTTTGACACAGTATTCTCTAGTTCCCACCTCTTCCCCACATGCTGCGCCCCGCCCCCCTCAGGAGTGTGGTGCGCTGTGGTGGCCCAGGCACCTGAGTTGGATGCAGATGCAGGGAGGAGGTCGATTTTGGTGCCTGGGGGGTAATTATTGGTGGCTGAGACTTCTGGGACTTCCAAAACAGTTATGAAGGAGAAATGGAACCAGGTTGCCAAGTCCACTTAGGACAAGCCAGTAAAGCTGAACTGGGACCAAGTGGGAGCCAATGTCTGGGGCAGACAGAGCAGTAGACGCTGAACTGATGGGCAGCCAGGGTTTTTCATGTGTCTTTGGTGGCCAAGGCAGAGGCATGCTTCTTGGGGCTAAGGGCCCAGGCTAGGCAAGAACATCCTCAGCCCTATGCCTCCCTGCTCCACACTCCAGCCCTGATGCCCACCTCAGACTCTTTCTTGCTTCCACAATGCACTGCTAAGTCCATTCAGGCGGCTATAACAAAAGTGCCATAGACTGTGTGGCTTCAACAGCACACGTTTATTTCTCACGCTTCTGGAGGCTGGAAAGTCCAAGATCAAAGTGCCAACTGATTCGGCATCTGGTGAAATCCCATTTCCTAATTCATAGACCATCATTGTCTCACTGTGTCCCCACCTGGCAGAAGGAGTGAGAGAGCCCTCTGGGTGTCTCTTTTTTTTTTTTCCTCTGGGTCTCTTTTAGAAGGGCACGAATCCCACTCATGAGGCTCCATCCTTGTGACCCAATCACCTCCTAAAGACCCCACCTCCTGATACCATCACATTTCGGCTTACACGAACCTCCATTCTATAACACACCTGATTTGTCTGTCTACTGGACTTGACGCACAAGGCCCACTCTCAACTCAGGAGGTACATCCTTTCCACTCAAAGGGCCTGTAATCAATGTAAGAGACACTCCTGTTACCTGCCTCAGCTCATTGGAGCCCCACTAGGTGGACCACCCCACCTGGGCTCCCTGCTTGGCCAGGTTGCAGGGAGTTGGACACTCACGCAGCATCGGGCCCTGTGCCCAGTAAGAGCGGAGCTCAGACAAACGGGGATGGCCCTCCTCAAAAGGATGGAAACCACTTATCTGTACAGAGCCAACATTTCCATTACTTTAGTAACTGAGACCCTTGTTCAGTTAAGTCACTAAAAAGAAGATGAGAGTAAATGGAATCTGTTTTTTAAGTCATATACATTAAGGGAGTACATAAACAAACCAACCCCTACAGAGTTGGTCTGGATTGAGTATTTCACTCACAATTTATCTTTCAGTCACGCCAATCCAGTTAAAGGCCATAGGGCTTACTTATTATGATTATTTTCTATTATTAGGCAAATTTTTATTTGCTTGTGGTCTGATTCTTTCAGGTGTAGGCTTGTGGGCCTGTGTTAATTTGTAGGGTTGAGTTATTTATGTCATATTACAATCTAGTCTAGTCTATCGATTTCCTACACGCTTTCCTCTCAAGACGATCACAAATTCGAAATGAATTAAAACTCTAAACTCAGGAGTGGGATAAAAGGAGTGAGATGGGATTTGAGAATAGAAGGATCACCTCTTGGTATTTTGCCCCAGTGTCCTGGACCCCAAAGACAGAAGAAAGCAGGCATTCTCACTCACTGAGCACAGCTCTCAGCTCAAAGGAGAGGGAAATAGGAAGATAACAAAGATAAAAACATCAACTCCACCCAAATGACTCAAATGAAGGCGCGTCTCAGAGTCTTTCTGTTTTCCTGAAACTCAAGGCCTGAACCTAGGAGAGCACTGTCCAGCTGCCTGTGCTCGAATGGGAGCTTCATAAATCTCCAGAAAGCCTCTGACCCTTTCTCTTTTCACTTTGGCTCTGTTTCCTTCTTTGCTGAGGGTCCCAATTTGTCAGAGCAGAAGGGAATTGCATCAGTCAGTTTTGAATCAGACAAAACAAAAACGAGTGGGCAGCCTTCCTTGGAAAGGAAAAAATACTGGTGGGATTTTTTTTTTTTTCACTGCCCCTGACTTATTAAGCAGCACTAAGTATCTTAGAGGAGGGTGGCCAAGGTTTCAGATATATGCAGGGGAGCAGCAATTTGAACGCTGAGTGGGGGGTGGGTTGGGTAGGAAAGCGAGGGTTTGGATTCAGCCTCACGGTTCTCCCTCTCCCCCTGCAGGTTAGAAGAGGCAGAGAGACAGCGCAGCCTGGGGACGTGCAGGTGTGAAGGTGCGTGTGTGCAGGAGTGACCCTGTACACACCGATACAAGGAGCAAACAGAGAAAGGAGTCCAGGAGAAGAAAAGAAAAGGTGACTGAAGTTGAACAAGAAAATACTCTGGGCAATAACAGTGAGGATAAGAGTGATAATAAGAGCCATATGCTGCATTCATCCATTCAACATGCATTTACTCAGTGCTACTCTGGGCAGGGCATGTTTTAGGCTCTGAGGATACAGCAGTAAATGAAACCAACCCCTGCCTTCAAGGAGCTTAAGTTGTAGAGTAATACATATCAGGCCTGTAACATCTGTTATCTCATTTATAGACCCTGCGAGGTGGTTACTGTTATCCCATTCTACAAATGATGTGGCCAAGTCTCACAGTTGAGTCAAAATTTGAACTCAGGTCCCTCTGACTCCAGAGCCCCTAGACTGTGATACATACCTCCCACTAGCAAGACCCCAGCGAAGGCCCACTGGCCCTGCCTCAGTGGTGAGAGCTCATTGGACAGACCGCTTTCCCTCCTTGAACCTCAGTCTATCCATCTGTGGAAAAGAGGGGATGGATTCATTGATCTCTGAATCCCCTCCTGCTTATTTGGAAAAAATATTCTATACGGGTATCCTCCCCCTCCCGAGTGCTTCTTGTGGAGACGAGTGGCAGCTCCAAAACGAGATGACCGCCCAGAGCAGTGCTTCCCACACTGGGTTCCAAGGAATTCTTTGCAGGGATTCTGAAGTTTTCTATGAGAATTTTATTTTTCTGAGACAGATTCCTGAGAACCCTTAGTTCAAGAGAGAAGCAGCCCTGGGGTGGCCCTCTGGCCGGCAGCGGAGGGAGAGAAATGGGGTGGAAGGGAGGGTGGGGAGAAGGGTCTGCTGGGGGTCGGGAAGCAGCCAGTCCAAGCAGTTGCCTTTCTTCTGGGAGGTACAGGGCTGGGGCCGTCCCAGAAAAGCCCCTCCCCTTCCCCTCCTCCCTCCTCCTTCTTCTTTAAATACCAGCCAATCACAATACCTTGCTCAGGTGCATCCGCCCTGAGGCTGGGAGAGGTGGAAGGCAGCGGGGGCCTTGTGGGGCCCAAGGCTCAGAGCCCAGGAGGGCAGATGTGGTTCAGGCTTACATCTAGGACTCCGAGGACCCGGCTAGAACGTTTGAGCGAGGAGGGATGTGTCGCCAAATGGTAACGGATGCCTAAACAAGGTGAGATGGGTCCCAGCTCTTCACCTTAACCCTGACTCACCTCACCTGGCTGGTCAACCGCTCTAATGTGGAAAAGTGAGGCAACAGCGTGAGCCCAGCTCGCACAGTGGCTAAATGCAGCCCAGGCCCCCCCTGATAAGCTTGGTCAACTTATTAAATTACACAGGAAAAATCGAGATGGATTATTAATTCTGCACACCTCTCTTCTCTGCCTGGGGAACCTGCCTTCCCGGGTTTCACTTTTCAAAGGCTGAAATAGATATGGAGATTTTGCACTTAACTAAAGGAGAAGGGCGCTCACTTCAAGTCTTTTCGAAACCATTTTGGTTCTGAGCTCAGTGGAGCCAGTAAAGACCCAGTCACCATCTGGCATGAAAGGTGTTAACTTGGAGTCTTCGGTCAATTCTAGACATCAGACTCAGGAACAAAGAGAATTAATTTCGGAGGCCCCCTTAGCCGGCCCCTCCCCTTCCAGCCTGTAAGCTGAGAGCCTCTGTCTTGACTTGCTAGGTATTAAAAAGTTAAGTCTGTGAGGTCACCTGCAATGCAGAACGCCAGGTGCCGGAGCTTGCCCTACAGGGCAAGATTATCTTATCAGCCAGGCTGATAACACTCAGGAAAGTCTGGCTATGAGGAACACATACTTATAAGGCCAACACTCTTCAGTCCATAATAGATTAGGTACAGAACGGGGGCAGGAGCAGGGGGCTGAGTTAGCAGTCAACTCTGGGCATTGGAGCCTGGTTCCTGATCAGAACCTTCCTGCGCTTGTTCGTTCGGCTCGTTAAGAAGAAGGCATGTTGAGTGTTGAACTGTTTAGGAGGTACTTTCCCATATGTCACCTCACTTGACCATCACGACAGCCTGGTGAGAGAGCTATTGTTACCCCCATTTTACAGTTGAAGAGACTGAGGTACAGAGAGGTTAACTAATTTGCCCTTTCACACGGCTAGCAAGTGGGACTTGAACTCAGGTTTTCTGATTCCAGAACCTGTTTGCTTTCCACGCTCCAGTGGTGGCCTTGACCTGTTCTCACTTGGCTACCCTTTGAATTGACAGCTCCCCAGGAAGCCCCCTTTGCCTCTCTGTCCCCTGGTCACAAGCTCTGCTCACCTGGCGGATGAGGCAGGCCAGAATCTGATAAAGAGGGAAGAGGAGATGGTGACACCATGGGAATGGCTGAGGGGTGCTCTAAAACAGCCCTGGCCCCAAAATACACACAGCCTCATGGGGTCTCCTGGGGCTTGGAATTCATTATCCCTGGGAGAGGTGATTAAATGATTAAATGCAAAGGAATTAGAATGAGAGGTCATGCTTGGTGTCAGAGGAGGGGTCACTGGTTTCCTCTTGTGCTAGTGTGGAGAGGGGGTGGGGGGAACCTGGAGGAAGCCTCCTCCCTCTGGGGCCCGAGTTTCTCTTCTGCCAAAGGAGAAGCTGGACTAGGTGATCTTAGACATCCCTACTTCTGGGACCTCTCAGAAAAATCTCCTGGGACGAGGATCTCTGTAAGCCCTTTTCTATCCATCCTCAGCCAGGAGTGGGGGAGTGTTCTGGATGAAGCAACTTCTAAGCTAACTATAGAGGAGGTGAGTAGCTGGGGTCTGGAAGCAGCCCATGCAGACGCCTGGAGGTGAGCGCCAACATGTGTGTCTGAGTCACTGTGGTCCCGAAGCTTAGGTTACAAGAGGCTGAGAGATGAGGCTCAGAGATAAGCAGGAGCCAGATTACAAAAGGTCTTGTAAGACCATGTCAAGGAGCGTGGGCTTTATCCTAAGAGCAATAGGGAGCCAGAAAGGAGTTAAAGCAAGGAAGTGGCATGACAATATGTGTGTCTTAGTACTTTCCCTCTGGTGCAAATGTGGAGACTAGATTGGAGGGCGGGGGACAGAAGAAGGTGATGGGAGGAGAAAGGGCAGTGGGAGAGAGACCCCACCTGGACTTATTTCTGCTTCCCACCTCCTTCTTCTGACCCAGGCTGGCCTGGTTGTGATACCCATATTTGCAAGAGTAATAATAATGGCTACCATTTATAGATGCTTCCTCTGTGCCAGGCCCTGTGCTGGGTGCTGTGCGGGCTTTGTCTCATTTAAGCCTCACAGTAACCCTGCTGGGTAGGAATGCTTACCACCCATATTTTATAGATGAGAGAGCTCGGATCAGAGAGGCCAGGTGTCTTGCCCTGGGTCACACAGCTGGTAAGTGGTAGCATGACCACCCAAGCAGAGATGTGGCTCATTGTTTTTAACCACTGGGTGCCCTGCCCCCTGAGGTGCCATCCCCACCGTTAGCCTGCACTCTCCAGAGCGGAATGGAGCTGGGTGGGGCAGCTTCCTGCAGCAGAGGAGAACTAGAGCAGTCCTAATTGGCACAGACGTGATTTGCTGTGGGTCCCTTTAAACAAACTGTGAGTTGTGTTTGGAGAGGGTGTGAGATCTTTGGGAGTGTTTGGGGTCCCACAGCTAGTTTGCCTTTGCCTGTCAGAGGGGAAACAGAGCTGGGCCTGGGGCAGGGTCTGATGCTGAGGACCCTCCTCCTCATTCCCCTCTCACATGAAGGGGCCTCTCAGAATCCTTGGAGCTTCAGGAACCACTTCCCAATCCAGAGGGGAGCCGAGAAGTCACACTTTGCAGAGGCTAGAGATTGTAGAGGGAGAATGGCTACTATTTCTTTCCCACGCTGCCTTTTCCTGGAGGGGGAATAGGACCCAGGTCTGGGTCAGGGAGCCCTGGAGGGCACCAGGTCTGGGTCAGGGAGCCCTGGAGGGCACCCCAAGGTGATTAGAACACCCCAAGGAGGTTAACACAGGGGCAGTGCTCCCAAATGCCAGACTTCTGTGCTGGGCCCTGCCATAGAGAGCTGGGTAACCTTGGAAAGGTCCCTCCCCTACTCCCTGTACCTCAGTTTCCCCACTGGGTGAGGAGATCCCTAAATTCCCCCTCTCCCAGCCCCAGAGTCCGAGTCTCCAGAGCCTGGATGAGGCTGTGGTCCAGGCTGACTGGCTTCACAGCTCTCTCCAGCCATGGGGGCCCATCTTGTCTCTCAGGGCCACCGTGGAGCCAGGCTAGAGGGCAAGCTGCCCCTTGAGCCTTCCACAGCCTGAGCTGGAGCAGCTGCTTGCCCACTCCAGGCCAGTGCCCTGCTCCTGCCCCCCCTTCCCCCTACCCTGTAAGGACACGAGCCCTTCTGGGTTTGCTCTGTCAGTTGGAAGATAGGGTTGGCTTGCACCTGCAGAAGGGCACACTGATTAATTTATTTTGCATCATTTTGCATTACCTGGCTCCCGGGCCTCCAGTTTGACATGCAGATTTATGTAAAAGAGACCCGACATGCAAATGAGCCAGGCCTGCCACTTGTTTTAGTAACAGGCAGGGCTGCATCACTGGCTCCTCCGGCCCACCTGCTCTCCCCATGGCCCACTGGCTCTCGCAGGCTGTGGAGGTCCGTCCCCTCACTGTGTTGCCTCTGCTCTGCTCAGAGGCCAGGCCAGGTAAGGAGTCAACTTGACAGTGAGGTTAGAAAGAAGAAGGAGGCTCAAGACACTGCTTCCCAAGGAGTTTCTGGCTGTGACTTGTTGAGAGACAGAGTGGAAAGGTAAAGAGACACACACAACCAACCAGAGAGTATGAGGCCAACTGAGAGAGAGGCAGGCAGGGATTCAGACAGGGGAGACAGGGCTGCACACAAAACAAGCATGGACGGAGAGGGATAGACAGATGGACAAAAAACAGGCAAAGCACAAAGTCAGAGAGGGTGAGAAGCAAAAAAAAAAAAAAATCAAGCAGGAGAGTCGGGGACACAAGAGGGGGATGCTGATGGAGGGGGCGGACACCAAGAAAGAAACAGATCTCAGAGTTGCTGTGGAGGAAGAAGTGAGGATATAGCAACAGCCTGGCTGTGGGGAGGAAAAATGAGGGAGGAGTTGGCAATGACAGCTTGATGCTGGGGAGTCGGGGAAAAGGAGTCACAGGCGGATGTGATGGGGGAGACCTGTGGGGAGAGACAGGGGAGCTGCCCTCTTGGAAGCCCTGGCAGCGGCTTGGCTGCCACAGGCAGAAGCGGTGCCACCATCTCATAAAGCCTGATTCGTATCCGCCTAGCTATGTTTACACACACAGCTATAGACACACACTTACAAACCACACAGACATGCCTTGGGTAGAAGAAAGCATTCTAGAGCTATGAGGCTCTAGAAAGGGAGCTTGAGGGGTTGTCTAGTGCGGCATTGGCAGTGTGTCTGTCCTCCCAGGGCCCAGGGAGAGTTCACAGCCTGCCACCCCCACCTTCCTGCTGGAGAGCAGCTGACACCCCCTGGTCCAGGATGTTCCTTGCTCACCTGTCCCAGCCAGCCTCCCCACTTCCTGTCCTCCAAATGCACTCGATCTGAGCAAGAAGGCAAGCAGGCAAGGAAATAAAAACCAAAGAGGGACCCCCTCTTGTTCCCACAGCCTCTTTTGTAGGGAAAGTGACACTGTGGGAGGAGGGCACCACGTGTAGGCCCTGGGTGGGTGATCTTGGAGAGCAGGCAGGGGCAGGGTGGGAAAACTCCCTTGGCTTTTGGATAATCTCCAGCTCCCCACAACGAGACTTCCAGGGAGGGGACAGAGGAGACATTTCTTAAAACCTGAGGTGGCGGCACTGAAGGTACCCTCAGAGGCCCTCCAGCCCAACCTCATCATTTCACAGAAGAGGGACCCATGACCCAGAGAGGTCCAGCAGCTTGGTTAGTGCATAGTCCGGCTAGCGTGGGGTTGGGCTAATGGACGTTTTTGCTAAACAACTGTTGTTACCTCCAAATTGTCTCCTTGGCATTGATGACCTTCCCCTCTCTTTTTCTGATTCTTCTGACTTGGTGCTGGATACACACACAGCCCCTTGAAGAGTGGACTCTAGTTTTACTCTGAGACAGATGAACTTGGTACACATTGTGAAACTTATGGGCTCAGATGCTTCTGTGCACTTTTCACTGGTGCTCCCATGAAGACCTAGGACTCTTTGGGTCA